TGATATCTTGTGAGTGCATGAAATTAAATGTGTGAATTATAAAAAATTATACTGTACATCTGATATTTTTTATTTTACATGCCTTTTTTTGGAACTTTTTGAACACATCTTGTATAATATGCATTTCAAATTAACATTCATTATTTAACATAGTTTCAATTAAATATTGAATAGAAACGTACTTGGCAAAATAATTAATCAAGTAACTAACACCTTATTCATTGCCAAGGGAGTTTATTAAAAACTAACGTTTTTGATCTACTCCATAGATCATCTTCAGGTTGAAACATTCGAATTTGGAATAACAAAGAATAGAACACCAAATTCAAATTTAAAGATCGATAAATACCAACAATGTAGCAACTAATTAAAATAAAAATTAAAGCGTAAAAATACACAAATGTAAAAATAAATAACATACAATTATTAAATATTATTATAAGCCACTATCCGTTAACAAATAAAAATCATTAAGATTCCCATAATGCGATTGTGGATATGGCGCAATTCAAGAGCTACTTGTAAGTTTTAACAACGTACTTCCATGCTGAGGGTAGGCCCTCTGCATCTCTGGCGTTTATGCATTTTTCATCTAACTTGCTCATGTATATTTCCATTTTTTTCGGCAGTTTTCGCTAAAGTTGGGGAGTGTACTTGTCTGACGATTTCCGCATCCTCCTTGGGCCTGTGCCATCTGGGCAGAACTGTTGTGTTAGATCTTTTTCTAATATCATATTTATGCTCTCTGACTCTTACTCCTAGGTTTCTCATTGTAACTCTTATGTACTCCTTTTTTATTTCTAACTGCTGGTTCTCGTACGGGATCCTATAAACTCCTGCTTTATCTTCCTTCTTTATCATTTCTTAGAATCTTATACAGATTCGGAGCTCGTTTTAAGATCAACATTGATCCTTTATTGTCAGCAATCTCCTTCATGATGGTTCTTACATTTTTGTTGAATGTATACTTTGTGTATTTACTAGGTCCTTGTTTAGAGGCCCTTGTATCGCCTATCTCAAATTTTCTAACAATGCCAGTGATTATGTTTCTCCTGTAACCCAAGGTTTCTGCTATCTGCATAATCCTGTCGATTTCTTTATTTCTGTCCATAATGTTGTCGCAATATAGAAAAGCCCTTCTGACTAAGGCACGAAAAGCTGCTAATTTATAACAAAATGGATCATTGAACTGTGCAGGAATGTAGAGTGGGCTGTATGTTGGTTTGATATACACATTGGTAGATAAATGTCCTTTCTTAAAGATGATATTGATATCCAAGAAATGTATCACTTTGGAACTTTTCTGCTTTAGTTTCAGGTTTAGGCTGTCTTCATTATCATTGGTTCTTTCTATAAAATTACTGATTCCTCAATTACTTTTCCATAGTATAAAGATGTTGTCCACATATCTCTTGAAGTAAACAATATCATTTCAATATCATATCAACAAGTAGCTCTTGAATTGCGCCATATCCACAATCGCATTATGGGAATCTTAATGATTTTTATTTGTTAACGGATAGTGGCTTATAATAATATTTAATAATTGTATGTTATTTATTTTTACGCTTTAATTTTTATTTTAATTAGTTGCTACATTGTTGGTATTTATCGATCTTTAAATTTGAATTTGGTGTTCTATTCTTTGTTATTCCAAATTTGAATGTTTCAACCTGAAGATGATCTATGGAGTAGATCAAAAACGTTGGTTTTTAATAAACTCCCTTGGCAACGAATAAGGTGTTAGTTACTTGAATAGTTTGAATTATCATTTCATTAATCAATTGTTAATTGTTATTGTTTCACTATTTCATTATATATTCACTATTGAATATATTCTCAAAATCTTTAATGAAATATTTCATTCATATGTCTCTGTTGAATTAATAAAATATTTTAATTTCTCTATAAATACAGTAGAATTCTGATTATCCAAGATAATGTGGACTAATGGTACCTTGGATAAATAATAACTCAGATTCTATGGATGGCCACAACCTTTATGAATTAAAATTATGAACATAAAAATTTATATGGTGTCCTTTTTAGTCTATTTTTATACCTTAGCAAATTTAATCATATATATATATATATATATATATATATATGATTATTTTAACGCAGAAGCAATAAATTATCCACCGAGTTTGTAGACAAAGTATCTTATAACTGGAAGACCTGGGG